GAAGACAAGCACAGCAAGGGCACGGCTGAGCACAGACCTGCCTACACAGCTTAGAAAAAGGATTGGAGGTTTCCACCAGCGATTAAACGTGCCAGAAGACTGTGTGTGTGGGTGAGGTCTCAGATGAGGCTGCTCAGGCTAATTAGAGTGCAAATAGATCTTAATCTTTCTAGGTACATTTTATTAGAGAAATCCCTTTTTGTATAGAGGAAAAAAATACTTTCCTCTTGGATTAAGCTTTAGCCACTTTCATTTTCATCCCAGCAGAACTCCCTGTTACAAAAAGATCAAACAGTGCCAAATGCTGTTCTCGTTAAGAACACCTGCACAGCATATTCTTTGTATAAAGTTTATCCCTGCTTTTAATTGAGGTTAATTGTAGCTTTGCAGTAGCTACCCACAAGAGGGAAAAAAGTGGAAATGTCTGAACTGTAATTTGTATTTATAATTATTACGATTCAAGGTATCACCAGTTTTAGTTCAAGGCACAAGTACACACACACACCAGCCAAAGACAAGTATTATTCCTCAAGTTTACTAAACAGGCCAAAAAATAATGTAGAAGTCTCACAACATCGATCCTAAGGGAGAGTTGAGGAGTCTGCGGACTTTGCCTTGCTCTTGTTTGCAGAAGAAATATTTTTGACCTGAAACGGAAGTCAAACGTTAGCTACAAAATGCTGTCACAACATGAAACTGAATGCTTTCTAGGGCTGCCAAATTAGCATATGTCAGAAGATGATAAGGCTCCAAAGAAGCAGGTTTTATTCTGTTTCTTCCTTTTTTTTTTGTTTGAGATGCAGATGGGGGAAAACATCTGGAGATTGTAGCCAACATTTATCAATTGAGTTATTTAATTTTGTATTTGTTCTTTGTTTCCAGACAGATTTTCTGTAGTGAATGTTGCTAAAACACTTAAGTATGACATTTTTTCTCCTTCTTTGACAAGAGAAAAACCCTCTAGTTAAATGATTCTTTGAAGAGTAGTCCCTAATCCAGGGAAGTTAACTTCAGCCACTGTAAAAGCTGTCTTTTCTTGCTTCAGAAGATAAAACTGAGGAGCTTGGAAAGTCTTGGGAACTTGCTGCTAACCAATCTGCAAACCCCATATGCTTCCTATTTCTGTCACAGTGTTGGGACAAGGAACCTCTGAAGTCTTCTCAAGGAACCATACCTATCATCACGTTAACTAGCTTTGTTTTTAAGTATTTGCTTTGTAGCACAGTTCATATTTCCTTTGTTAATATAAATGCTTTTACTGAAGTTTTGGGAGTACGTTGATTGTGTTCTACTAAAAGAAGGCTTTCCACCAAACGTTAATGTGTAGAGTTCTTGTAGGCTGGAGTGGCCTTTTCAGCCGGGGTTATAAGGAAATAGCCAGTAACAAGGTTATTTTACTGTTCAGCTGGGATAAATCAGTCTGCTGCAGCATCTTGTATCTAAAACATGTGACTCTAATTGTCATTATTCTTTTTGTCAGCCAGCAGTTTGTGGTTTCCATCTCAGCAATACTCATTGTCAAAGAGCAATTTCACTTGTTGATCCTCCTTCTGTCTCCTGCTGAGGTAGCCGTTTTGGCCTGTTTCTGATCCAGCATTTTCCTTCTTCTCTAGAGACTGCAGGATTTGAACTTTGAACAAAGCTTTTTTCCTGCTTCCCTGTGTCCTTTAAAAATAAAGACAAAACCTCTTTGCTAGCTTATGGAGGTTTACCTTAAAGCCTACTTTTAGGCTCCTACAGAGAATAATTAGCTTCTTTCATGTCTGGCTGCATGTTCACAACTCTTCTGTTGCATTGGATCTAGGAAGCAAGTAGTGCAAAATTGGATTTATTCACCAGAAAACAAATTATCAAAACCAAAACTCTCCTTCGGGTCTACCCGTTGAACTGACTCATGGCATGATTTACTGAGAGGTAGGAGGGACAAACACTACCTGGGGCTCTGCTGGCCTGAAGTTGTACTAGATTAGAGGGAAAAACAAGACACACATACTATTAGCATTATAGTTTGGGAGTTCTTGGCTCAGTGCAAAAAAATACTCTTGCTTGTATATTCCAGCCAATTACTCATCTGCTTCTTTCTTTTTCTTAATTATTTGATAAATTACTTGCTATTAAAGTAATTAAACCATGAATCTTCACATTATTTATAATTTTTCTCATGTTAAGTTGTAATTTGCCCAACAGATATGAGGATAATTTACCCTATGATTGCATAGCATTTAATGTACTCCTGCAGCAAATAACTGCTATAAGTGGTGTGCCCTGTAAAGTGACATGATGTCACAATATTTCTTTGAAAATATAAAATTAAGTATTATTAAGTCCTATAATTATGTAGCTATAGGTTATCTTTGCAGCTTAAAAAATGGAGTCTGGTTCTTCTTGCTCTAGTATTCCAAGAATTTTATCAAAATTGTATGGGAATGAGCTTTGTGTTCTACAGAGTGGGAAAGATGCATTTCCCCTGCCCTGTATTTCAATGTGAATCACTTCCTTTGTTCTTTTTTCTTTCCAAGAACTAAAGTTTTCCAACACATATTTATAAAAGTGAAGCAAACAACAGCTATGTTTCAGGAGCTGTGTTCTTTTTGAAACACAAACACTCTGTTTTACCGTGTTTTTCTCGTTTAGAAAGATCCACTGCAGAGCCTGATAACCCATGACTGTCGTGAATGATTTATGTGGAAGTATGCTTGCAAGTATGCGTGCATATGAACTGATTCAGTTCCAAATATTTAGGTATTTTTGGCATTTTAAACTTTCTGATTGTCTTATACAGTGGAAGAAAAGTCTGTTTCTCTTGGCTCTGAAATGGTGTGGATTTCAAAGTTGCTATTGTATGACTGGCTATAAGTTCACTTAGAATTTTTGCTTTAGACATATATTTGGAGCTCTTGATTTTTACCTGCCAAACTTATTTTTTTTTAAAGGTTCAATTATTGGCTGTTTCTTTTAAACCTTTTCCTAGCTCTAAAATAAAGAGCTAGTTTTTCCCCCAGTTGTCAGTTACACCCGATCTGTGTTGCTTCTACCCTTTCCTGCTGAAGTTTTTTGTTTTCTAAGGCACAAGACATTTTGTCAACTGAGGTAGGTTTTTCCCGGAGTTTGTCATTATAGGAAATCGGTTAGTCACTTTTCAGTCAGTTACCCAGGGAAGTTAAGTTTCACCAGCTGATGTATCTTTTGCACAGCTATCACATAGTCTGTTCATGTTAGATTTTTTTTTTAGTGTTGTATAAGCTCTTCATATTTAAGAGTATTATCAGTTATTATGAATATGCAACAAGCTTAAAATGCAAATGTATTTGCTAACTATTTTTATTGCATGGTTATTTACTTGGCATCTGCATAGTAGAATACTTGTATTATTTTAAGTGTTTTTTTAGGACTAATTCATGTAAGTGCCTCTTGTCATTTAAAGATTATAGTTTCTTAGTGTTCCTATACATCCCTGTTTATTCTAAAAACAGCGAATCCTGTTTTGAAGGTAATAGGTGATTCTTTGACATTACAATAAATATTGTGATGAATATAGTGAAATAAATGGTTTGTGCCATCTACTGGTCTGAATAGGATCTGCATTTCAGTTCAGACTGGATTGTTGCTGAAGCATACAGCGTGAAAAAGTAGGAAACTCACCATAAATAGTGTAGTTGTCTCTTCTGTGTTAAGTGCTAACAAACGTTAAAGATGAGCTAACTGAAAGTGCAGGCACTAACCCTTCTCACACCCCTGACCTCTCAGCCTAGAACTTTATCCTAATTTTGATAGAGCCTGGAAGCATTTGCAGGTAGGTCAGTCCTTTTTCAAGAGAATTTACCTGTCTGAATTGGTGGCATAGAGTCCTGTGAATATGAACATGTTCTGTCTAAACATGTTAGATGGACTTGTACTTTCTATAATAATTCATAATTACACTATATCCCATTGTCACCTTTACTTATAAAACAGTATTAAAAAATAAATAAAATGCTTCCTTATGGATTTTCCCTGTATTTCAATGCTAAGCCTGGAGTAATAAAGCTGCCAGTATGGGGTCAACTTCAGTATAGCAGTTACGTAAGACCTTTTAGCTGAACCATCTTTGTATCCTGCAGCCTAATAATAGGCTATTGCGTTTTCTGTGATTTTTATAAAGCTCAGATTCCATGTTCAATTCTTAATCAATTCAGTATTAATGTTATCACTCATATATTTGACACATTTTGTATACATTCAGATTATCCTGCAATGAGCTTTTTCTCTTACTGTTGCTTGTTACTTAGTTATCTCAAGAGCATAAACAGTGGATCCACAAATGCTAGTGTCCCTCTAGTTATGGATGTTCTTTAAAAAAAAAAGGAGTAAACCCAAGAAAATATTAATGAAAAACACTTATGTGTTCTGAGGAGATTGTATACTTCAGTATTGTGTTCAGGGGTCCAAATGCTTCGCTTGGTTACATAATCAAGAACTCATTTTCGGCTGAAATGTAGCCTGTGGGATGGACAACTGGCCTAGAAACAAGGAGGCTTTGGGTCTGCTTCTAATAAATCATTCCTCCTCACATTGCTTCAGTTTTCTCTGTCTGTAAGATACCTATTGGCCTCCTATGAAATCCTGAGATCTGTTAATGAAAAATCCTGTATAAAGAGCTAATATATTTTAAATTGGTTTTGATGCATATTGTAACTGGTTATCTAAGTCTATAAAATATAAATTTTAGGGAGGTTCAGTATATTCAGATCCTTTAAGTTTTGGTTAATTTGGAATTATCTAAATGTGTAGGTATATATGTATTAATGTGTATGTTTGTGCAAGTTTCCTGATGCAACCACAGCTACAAAAATTGAATTACAATTTAATGAACTAATTTACTGTATTAAACATTAAATATTTAAGAAAAAGTAGTATTAATTCCAGAAAGATAGGATTTTATATAAGCACAAAAAATGCATTAAATATGAAGATATTATTAAAACTTGCAGCTTTTCAAATTGTCTTTCTTGTATTCGCAGGTAGATGCCTCAAATAGTTGCCTTTCCTTCTTCATGACTGATTACTATACCCGGGAAAATACATTGTAGTAAGTGCACAGTTAACATGAATATCCATGGGGGGAAAAAAAGTTAATTATTGCACTGATCATAAGAGCTATAACACAGCAATAGCTCATACAGATGGAATACATAGTGGTCCATCAGTCTTGTTTGAAGTCAATTGAGTTCCAACGTTCTGTTCCTGCATGGAAGCTTTTAAATTTTCTTTATATATTCTTCCTTCAAACTGCTGGAATTCACTGGGGGGTGGTGGGGTCACTACTACAGCTGGAGGAAAATAGATGAAATTGTGTCATTCAGCCTGAGAGAGAAGGGAAGCTCTGCAGCTGCTTTCCCCTCATGGTCTTATTCCAGTTGCAAGCAGTTGTATATTCACTATGCACGTTCACTGGAGGGTCCCTAACACGGGAAAGAGAATGGGATTGAATAAGGTAGGACAGGCTGATGAGGTGCAGGGCATGGCCAGATAAGTACACCAACCAGCAGACTATGTACATGCAACCAGCACTCTTTAATCCTCTCCAATCTTTTGGTCCTGTTTTTCGGTGCTTCTTTGGGTATGTTTCTACCACCTAAAATCTCCTTTTAGGAGATTGCTGTGATAACTGAATATAGCTGATTTATTTCCTATAATGATTATCTGGTCTTTCTCTAGGTAGTACAAATAAATATCGGTTAGATGGGCTCTCACATCTCATTCTTTCAGCATCTAAACTGGAAAAAGTTTCTAATTCCTACCTTCCTCCTTACTATCGCTTGTAATGACTTTAATAATATTACTTTATTTTATGTGTAAGATATTATGAATTTGGTTTAGATTCACTACAATGGGAAGTATTAAGACACGTTTTGGGCAGGAATCTAATTCTATACAACTTTGTACTAGTGGAATAAAAAAAGTTAGTCTGTGCAACGTTTGAAACTGCTTCTTAGTTTTGAAGCTAACTCTTATATTTACTCTACTAAGTGTGATTTGTCTGTCATCTCCTGAAATTCAGGAGAAAACTACAAACTTCCAAATTCTGGATCATCTATACAAAGACTTTCTTATAGACACTACTGCATCACAGGTATTGAAAAATAGTGTGTTTTTAACAATAGATCTATAACAGTGTTGCTGGCTTGAGTTCCAAATGGTGCGCAATGCAATCCAGTTCTCTAGACTTACAAATACATTCACACTATACTTGCATGTGTTCACTGGAAGAAAAGAGCCTTAACGGGGACCAGTATTTACCACCCACCTAGTTTACAATTAATTCATTTCAAATATGGAATGCTTTTTCACTAATCAATGATTCTTCTTAAATTAGAAGTGTATTTTCTCTGCATTTGTCTGGTTGTCATTGTTGTAATTGGTGAGACGCCCACACAGCTTACATGTGCTGTGTGTATATATTTGTAAGCTTCTCTAATGTGGTGTAGACCAGGTTTCCTTTTCACTGAAACGCCTTTGTTCCTCACTTAATGGTTGTGTCAATGCAAAGTACAGCCCTCTTGCATATGCCCCCCAGCCTAGGTGTATTGGTGGCTTTTCTAGTATTAGAGGAGTTGTTAGATCATCCTTTAGGAATTCCAGGCATGAAGACAGTTTATCTTTTGCTGGGTATGTTTCTCTGATCCATCCGCCTGGGTGGGCATATCTTTGAAGCTTTGACTAATTTTTTACTTGGAGTTCTCTAATTTCTACACCCTTTCCCACATCCCACCCACACAAAGAAAAATATATATATATAATTTTGAGAGAACAAAGTGTTTCTCACAAGGAATGAAATGGAGCCGCAGTGTAGCCTGCTGACTATGCCACTGCTAGCTTCTTTTCAGTAGTGCCTGGGGTCCTTCCAGTCCAGGGGCACTGCCTGAACGCTAAATAGTTGCACAGGTAGGCTGTTTCTAGTAGGTCCATCTATTTTTATGTTTTTGTGTGTTTTTTTTTTTTTTTCTTTATTTTTTAATGTTTACTTTTCATTCTGTTTGCAGCCCTCGTTTTTTGATGGTATCTTCTATTTTCACTGACATTTTTATTTTTTAAGCAAGATGTTAAAAGTGATACCTGTTTCTAGACAGGCTGCCATCGTGGCAGGTTCCCATCAATTCCAAGAGCAGGTTCCCAAGGACTATCACTGCTGTAAATACATCTGCAGAAAAATTCATGACATATAGCAGTCTTTCTCCTTGCTGAGACAAGAAAAGATGCACCAACCAATTCCTGACCTAGATTTGTCAGCATGCAGCTTAGTTTATTTCATTCTGGGGGGACAGCATGAAGGAGACTAGCATGATGGAGACCAGCAGAAAGCTATGAAGAGCTGAGTGTAATGGATCTTTATACCTTCTATCATTCAGTCATGAGGTTAAGACAAGTTAAGTAACCTTTGGAAGAAGATAGGAGAGTATTAGTGATAATCTAAGAATCACAGAAATTAATATCAACGAGGAAAAACATGCTAAAGGCATGGAATCAGCTGTGAGTACTAGAGGCAAGCCTTCCTGTCCCACCAAAGTGAAATTTCATCAAGTATTTTTTGTCTTCTTCCATATTGACTGTACAGCCCCACTTTTAGTATCAGTGCGGAAAGGTGGTCCCAAGCTCCTCCTTGAGCCTTGAATGGCTTCTGCTGCTGCTCATACAGCCAAGTCTTTCACGTACCTGATGTGGCATCCCCCTTCCCCTCCCGGGACAGCAGGGAGCAGGCAGCTGGCTTTTAAAGCCCAGCAAAGTTTGAGTCAGGCTTCACTCTGCTCCTGTGATTTATAGTCTTGAGATGGAAGCTGAAGAAGCCTAGCACAGGGTCCGGCACTTTGAGAGAGGCTCGTTATGGTAACAAGGTGAGAGAAAGCGGTAGAGGATGACAGAAGTGTCCAAAGCAGCCATCTGTTTCTCTTGCACTGGACTTGAGAGCCAAGCACGGGGCAGGGCGTGGATGCTGGAGGCAGCTGTGTGGTTCCTGTGGCTCTGCCCCTCTTTGGCTACTCCTCAGTGGTGGGGCTGGCAGCATGGGCTCAGGCTCCTGGCCCAGGGGGCTGACAGGAGGTGATGGGAGCTGGGTTTTCCACGTAAGAGCAGGTTTGGTGGTAGGACGGACAGAAGAGAGAAATATGTGTATCCTTCATTACAAATCTGTCACCAAAAATTTGTGCGTGGCAGTTACTTAAATCCTCACAGCTGCTGCTGCTTCTCTTTTTATTTATTTATTTTTATTTTTTCAGACATTTTTACTTCTTGCAGTAGAGGGCTCTGCATTTAGGGCCATAATTCACAAAATCGGCACAGGTCCACATGTGCTGATTAGGTAAGGGATTTGACTGAAAAGAGCCGTGTTCAGCGTGCTTTGTGGTCATGACAAAACAGCTGGCAGAGAGCCTGATTCTCCTTGCTTTATGATACCTGCAAGGCAAACTCCACTGGAAACAAAATCAGCCTCGTCTATTTGTAGCAGGGACAGCGTAGCATATCGCCTCGCTTCCGGATTGCATCTGCCGTTTGAATTCTTTCCCTTACTTTTTGTCTCCCCGACTCTCCTCCTCCTCGTCCCCCCAGCTTTAACCTTGCCCAGGGAGCGCGGAGGGCTGCTGGAATGCACATAAACACGGCACAAAGGCAGGGGCCGTGCTGCCGAAAGGTCAAGCCAGCCTGGCGGCGCACAATGAGGTGCAGTGGAAATTTACAGCCTGTAGCTGGGTTGAGGATCGCTTCTCCTGCAAGAAATGCCCCACTCATTCAGAAACGTGATACTTGCTGGAGAGATTCGGTGTAGAAAAGCCTGTGAGTCCTAGCTGTTGCTCTGGGAAGTGTTGTTGCAAAGGCCCTGCTCAATATTGAGGAGAGTTTGGGGTCATCTGTGACACACTTATGATAAGGGAAATTTGTTTTAATGACTCTAATCTAAGCTTGTTCCGTACAGTGTCAGATTCTGCAATGCTGTTTTACCAGGACTTGTTCCATGTAAATTACCATGGTCTTAAGCATGACAGCTCTGCAGAAAAACGATAGCAAGTGTGACTCAGAGAAAAGCGATCTGCAGCAATTGGAAGGGGCTTCACTTGGAATTGAGTTCAGGAGCTGTTGTCTGTTACCGTGTTGTATCAGAGCGTGCACACAGTTATGCAATGATATCTGCTTGAAGCTAGTCAGGTTTCAGAGGGATGTGGAGCAGTAACCAGTGGTAAATGCTGAAGTGATTTTTTCATTCATTACAAGCAGTAAATGCTGAAGTGATTTTTTCATTCATTCCCAAGAAAGAGCTGTCTATCAAATAAATTAATTCGCTAAGCATAATATGGAATTTATTTGTCTTTCCCCTTCCACTAGCTGCTTTTAGTAGGGACGCTCTCTAAGCTTTGGCATTTATTTTTACATGGCATTCTCGTTACTATCAAAAGATCTGGGTGAAGGGTCATGACAACAGTCCAGCTATTTAGCACAGTTTTTCTGTAAACAGACCAGTGAATTGTTTGGCCAGCATGAGGTAATAATTCCCCACTGCATTTTGAACGAGTGTGCTACACATACAAACAGGTTTCATTAACTAGTGTGAACCTCCAAGATGGAAAGGAAGTATAGGAGGAACAACCTCGTGATGTTCTTGTTACAATTACAGCTGGAGCTGGGGGGTCATGCAGCATCTTTTGGGTCTGGCTTTCTGGAAAGGATAAATTTCTCCTTCTCATAAACCGAACGTTGTTGCTCATGTTTCAACAGTGCTTGAAGACTGAGCTCTCATTCTGGCAGGTGCTGCCTAGAGTCAAATGCCCACGATAGAGATACTATGAAAGTAAATGCCATCATTTTCCTTGCAACAAAAAGCCTGTAGTTTGAATTTACAAGGCATGGTGTCCTTATTGTTCCCATTTTGAGGAGATGAGGAATGAAAGGTCAGATATATCAAATGACTTAATCAGCATCATGAGGGATTCTGGTAGGATCAGGCTCTGGCCTTTTTTCTTTTCAACTGCAAGACCCTCCCGTTCCCTGCCAGTCTTGCTTAGTTGGGGTTAGGCACCCACAGCCATGTCCCATGGCTTG